GACCAAATTATCATCACAGAACAATATTGACAATACACATATAATTTCTATATTCGTCTTTTCATACTTGAAAAAGAAAAGGTATTGTGAGAAAAAAAAACTTTATTTTTCTTTCTTTTTTTGTTCCTTTCTTTTTTAATATTCGTTTTTTTTCTTCTTAAGAAAATAGCTGTAGAGATCCTGGTGATAAGATTTAATACAGTGATACAAGACTTTCCAGATATAGTACAACAACAGAGATCTATGCCTTTATACCTAAATTGACATTATGCCGCCTGCCGGTCAAGCTTGTAGGGGCCTTACAGATCAGCAAATTTTCCAATTGAGGTCACATTTAAAATGTGCAATTATCTTATTATTAATTAATAAATATCCATAACTGATAGACACTGATAATTGAAGATGATAGCTTCCAGTAGAAATCTTAAACGTATGGTAATGTTGTTTCATTACCTAGTAAGTTAAATTGCGAACAATGTTGAATAAAGTAAGTTTTAACCAAATAAGAAGAGTTTATAAGACGCCATGCTGCACGCGGCGTCTAGTAGATATGCATTCGCCTATTCAGAATTGGGGAAATTTTAGACTTGATTTTGTGTATCTTTTTTTTGTTTTAACAAAATCACACTGTTGTCAAATTTTCTAATAAAACTAGCTTTTCTGATGTACAACATGTCACCCGGCTTAAAGGGATTAAAATTAACGTTTAACTAAAGTGATAGTGCCATGTTTGAATATCATATTCTTTTTATCATTATCTAATTCTATTTACCTAATAAATAACGTGCTAATGAGCCAGTCTATAGTTGATCGTTCTAGAACTTAACAGTTGAGAGAGGTAACGACTGAGGCAGTGTCACTCACCTCATTTGCTCTGCCTCTGTCGAAGTACGTCTCCGCTTTAAATTGTCACTAAATTTAATATGATGCTTACTTTTTATGCTAGCATTTAGTCTTCGTTGACGGAGGGAAGGGAACCAGGACAACTATGATCAATATCACTTACCTGCAACATTAGGACGAATCATTAAATTGCAAGTTACAAGGCCTTAACCACGCCTACTCTCAATCGTAAAGCTCAAACAGACCCGTGAGACAAATATGAATCAAGTAGTTTAATCTTTTAGAAAACAATGCGTAACTAAGAATTGATTATATTTAACATTTTATTCATAACTATTATTTGATATAACAGACATAATTTGTTATCTTACAGATAACAGAACAATTCGTCCTCAAAATCATTCGAACATTTTGCAATTCGCACCAATATTTACATGGACATATTTTCGGCGCAACGAAGATATTTGTTTTACCTCTGTCTTTGTCTTGAATTCATTTTAAGTATACCAATCATTTCAATTTTACTTATTGTAATTCTCTACAACGGATCAGTAAAATATGCCAAGGGAGGTTATCACTGTGAGGAGTTTGAAGTATCTGGTATTTTATTGCGACAAATTATGGTAATTGATTTCAATCTACTATAACCTCTTGTCTGCAGGAATATAAAGGTTTGCAGACCTCTTGGAGCCTCTTCAAGTAGATAATGAAGAAGAAAAAAAGATAAAGACTTTGCTCAGTATAGATTCATTATAAGAGTCAGTCATTTGTAAAACGGAACTATTTGGTGTGCTACTACTATTTGTGAGTATTTCTTTTGTGTTTGAAGGTTAGTAAGATACTTTGATATATAATTGATCTATACACTATTTAAATCGTTTCTAACTTTTGGTGTTATACATATGAAATTTGATAAGGATTTTCATTGTGTAAGCGCCATTGCCTGTTGATGTAATGAGCTAGTTTGGCATGAAAACATGAAAATTATAAGCTTATATATAACTAATAATACCAGATTATTTCGTTTTCTTGACTGTGTGCTTTTCGCTTTTTTGATTCATACGAGTAAACGGGAAAGTGGACGTACTTGATGGTTTCGTTTATGTTTGACAAAATTTAGAACTCGACAGTGTAAAATAAAATGCAGGATATATGGCAATATAGAACTTATGATGGCATGGTAAAACAGAACTTAAAGATCCTGTATATTTTATGATTGATATTGTTTCTGTGTGTATACGTATGTATATACAGGATCTTTAAGTATCTGAAATTTAACTTGTTAGTAAAAGAACTTATGGAGGTAAATAGTTCGTTTCCAGACTCCTTTAGATAAATTAAATTTTTGACGCGTATTCCATGTCAGAAAAAAAATCCTTTATGTCATTTTCTTAATTGGCCAATCAGATTCCGAGATTTCATATTGTTACATTAAAATGACTAATGATTATTTTTTTTACATAAATTCAGTTCTTCCTTGTAAATTTAACAGGAAGTCAAACTGAAAACAGACCGGCCTTCGGCCGGAAAAAACAATAAGTATATTGTATGATGTTTTTTATTACCGATGATATCTGCAATATATGAACAAACAGAATGAGTAGTTTCCCCACACCCACCACAGAGTAGGTGTATTACTGAATATGACATAAATGAGTCTTAGTGACGCCACGCCTCCAGGTATCGAATATCAAGTACATGTCCTGGATGTATATAAATACTTTTAGTTGATCAGAATATTCCTAGCTAGGTATATGATAAAATAATTACCCACTTAATTTCATTTTGTACTTTTACAACAGAGTATGAGGTGCAAGTTCAGCACATTAAGTAATACATCCTTGTCGGATGTGTGACACCACCGTCATCGTAATTTTCTTAAGCTTTTTTATTTTAGTTCAAAATATAAGTGTATATCCTCGAAATTGCTGTCTTTTTTAAGTGCTCACAATTTATTAATTGATTCACTTGAATGTGTTAATGAATAAAGGCTTTATAACTTTGTATCAGTCGTTTTTGTCAGTGGGAGGAATAATTAAAGCTGCTCACTAACTCCCGGCAGAGCCCAGGACCATCCCGGTAAGTTACCGGGATATTCCGGGACGATCCGGGGTGAATTTATTGTTGCGGTCACACTAACCCGGATGATGCCGGAAGAGCCCCGGTTGACCCAGACAGAGCCCAAGTCGATCCAGGCAGAGCCCCGCAGAGACCAGGACGATCCAGGCAGAGTCCCGGTAGAACCCCGGTGGCTTGAAAACGCGCGAAAATGATTACATTGATACATAATTTTTATTTAATATAATATTTATTGTTCTCATGATGATTATCTAAAAAGTCCCTATGCAAGACTGAATAGAAGGGAAATGGGAAGGGAATACAAACAAGTGCAATCATCGCAAATTGTCGTGATTCTTTTGAAATGAACCGGGCTCTGCCAGGGCTCTACCGGGATCAACCGTAGCTTCATCGTCATCCTCCAGAACTTTGCCGGCATCCTCCGGGGCTCTGTCAGCATTCACCGGGCTCTACCGTAGCTCTACCGGCTATATCATACCCCGGATCATTCCCGGATCTGTGCCGGCAGAGCTACAGTGCTTCCCTTGTGTAACCCCAGTCGTTACCGACAAAGCTAAGGATGAAGCCGGCAAAGCTATACTTCCCGGATCATCCCAAACCACCCCGGTAATATTAAATATTTTATTCCATCCGGGGTCGAATGCCGGATGTTCCCGGATCATCCCTGACGTTGCCGGAGTTACGGATGTTCGCGTGTTTTAAATCCACCAGGGGTCTACCGGGGCTCTGCCTTAATCGTACTGTGCTCTGCGGGGGCTCTGCCTGGATCGACCGAGGCTCTGCCTGGGTCAACCGGGGCTCTTCCGGCGTCATCCGGAAACGACCGGGGAAGCACCGGCATGAACCGTAGCTTCACCTGGGCTCTGCCTGGATGATCCGGGGCGCATTCTGGGTGGTTAGTTGGGAATTACCGTAGTGTTGCCGGGGTAAGTGTGACCGCAACAATAATTTCACCCCGGATCATCCCGGTAACTTACCGGGATGGTCCTGGGCTCTGCCGGGAGTAAGTGGGACCGCAGCTTTAAAGAATACAGCTTAGTCTAACAATGTGACACTTGAGCAAGGGTATTTACATTAGTTGATATAATTTAACATCAACTTGTCCAAGAATAGAAACACGATTTGGATATAAATACGTAATAGAAAGAGCATCGAAACACGAGGCTATCTGATTTGTACGAGGGGGCATAGCCCCCGAGTATAAATCAGATTGCCGAGTGTTTTGATGTTCTTTCTTTTTTTTATCATAGTCAAACACAAAAACCCGTTCCCTTTTGTCACAATATGAAACCCCAGAGAAAATGAACCAATCAATGAGCATGCTCTGGAGTGCGGGTAACTAATACCTGCACTCCAGTTAACGCACTGTGCATGTATATGTATACGATTTAACTCTGACACATTTTCAACAGACAGGTCCCCAAACTATGATACAGTAGTAGGATATCTGTCGCATGGGTTGAAACCCTCTTGGGAGGCAAGTAGTTGTTTCCTTGAGAAAGACACGTTACTATGGTGGCTAATTTGTGCCATTCGTGTTTTCGCCCCGCGACCCCGCCAAGCAAAAAGTTGAAAATTAACAAGTTAAAATGGCGGGGGCGCGCAGCGAAAACACGCTTATTAGCGAGGGCGCGGGGCGAAGTTAAATAAATAAAACTTCGCCCCGCGGGGCCGCGGAGCCAGATTTAAGAAATAAAACGGCGGGGGGCGCGAAGCGAAAACACGCTAATTAGCGCCCCCGCTAATAAGCGTGTTTTCGCTGCGCGCCTCCGCCATTTTAACACGTGAATTATCGACTTTTCGCTTGGCGGGGTCGCGGGACAAAAACACGCTAATTTGCGAGGGCGCGCGGTGAAGTTTTATTTATTTAACTTCGCCCCCCCCCAATTATCGTGTTTTCGTCCCGCAACCCCGCCGTTTTATTTCTTATATCTCGCTCCGCGCTCCCGCGGGGATAAGTTTTATATATTAAACTTCTCCCCGCGCCCTCGCTAATTAGCGAGTTTTCGGCTGCGCGACCCCGCCATTTAATATGTTAATTATCGACTTTTCGCTTGGCGGGGTCGCGGGACGAAAACACGCTTATTAGCGGGGGCGCGCGGCGAAGTTTTTTTATTAAACTTTAATTTGTTAATTTTCGACTTTTCGCTTGGCGGAGTCGCGGGGCGAAAACACGAATGGCACAAATCAGCCAACATACGTTACACTCATTGCTCAGTTCTTGTTTATTATAGGGACAGTGATATGAAAGTGTGTCTATAAGCTTATAGCTTCCTACACAACGAACTAAAATAAATTCTGCATAAACCACACAGGTAACTTAACAAATATTGTGTTGTACTTTACGGGATATAAAGCGCAATAAACTCGTCTAGTTATGTACTCAACCAAAATATAATCCCGTTTTCTCCAGTTCCTTAATTGTTGATGTTAATCTTGATAGTTACATATTTACTAATATTTTGACATGATATTTTGATATATAGTGAATCCCATTGTGTTCGTGCAATTGCACTTGTAATCCAGGACTTGGTGTTTATGATAAACAATGTTGTTTATTTCAAGATAAAATAGGATTAAGTAGGAAAAGGATTTCCTATACTACTTACCATGTACTACTTTAGCTGTAAGTTATTATATATTATGCTATATATAACGTGCTTCTGCTCGAATTATATTAACCAACAGTTATCATTTACTGGAAGTTCGTGAATATCCACAGAGAGGGGCAAAGGGCGATAAGAAAACGTAAGTTATTTTTTAATCATATGTGCGGGCAGTAATATCATTTATTTTATACACTTTCATTACTCCGCAGGAAATACCGTTTCCTTATTCATTTTTGTGAACTTACGGTTCCGAAGATATGTAACTTATTTGACAACCTTAATAGATTGAACCCGTTCCTTGGTGATAATCATCTTATCACAACCATTACAGTAGTCTATCAATAAAGTTAGAAATTATTTTTTTATCCTGGAGTACCACGTGATTTTTTATATTTCAATGTTATAATTTCAAAAGTTGTGTTGAGAAGAACGTAAATAAATACATAGAAGTAAAGCTTTCTTTAGAATTTCTCGAAGCGATCAGTGATATGTATTTTCATAATTGTAGGCTCCGTTAAGACAATTTAACGTGCTATGTTTGACTGCACGTTTTCTAGAGCACTTATTGTATCCTGTAGTAGATAATCGTTTGCTTTTCAATTTTTAAATACTGTCCACAAATAATTCACAAATAATCGTGTCCAATGACTGAGTATAGACTGAAAAAACTGTTAAATTAGAATTTTTCGAGAAATGCTGTTTCGCTTATTTTGCGAATTGAAGTTTTTCTCGACGAAAAGTCTGGTCAAGTGATTTTGAACCCCCCCCCCCCAAAAAAAGAAAAAAACAAAAACAAAAAAAAACAGCAACCACCTTTCCCCTGAAAATCTCTTATTTCAAATTACCTTTGACTTTAATATGCATGTAGTTCTAAAAAGGGTACTAGTAAAACAAATAATGGGACAAACTCCTATTTTTTAAATAAAATTATGAGGACAGTACGACTACATTTGTAACAATCCGATAAATTAAGGATTTATCAAAGTTTAACTTTATTTATTTTCAACTTCTATTTGATATAGATATTTACGGTAGAAATGTAGCAATAATTTTAACACAATGATTTACTAATAACTTTCTGGGATAAAATTACATAATACATGTGATTATATTATACATAAAGACACAAATTGATCAGTGATTTAAACAATATGAATGTAATGTATATAAATGAATCTTTTACTTACATGACATCATACACTGATTCTGTGACAGTGATGATAATTATTAATTTACTATTATTATTATTAAACAAAAGATTTATTTTCAGGACTATTTCTACAAAAATACCAACCCAGTTCTACGCGAATCTCTGATAAAATCATAACCCTGAAGCAAAAATGATAAACTTTACGAGTCGGTGTTTACTGATCATGTTTGTGGCATTTCTGGTGTTAGAAAGCATTCCGCATACGGACGGACAATTATGTACACAAGTTGGTCGTGCCTGCTTAGACACGTTCGAAGTTATTAACGGGAGACGACGTAGACGCTGTTTTTCGTCTGGAAGAGGGAGGCGGTGCTCAATGGTCGGAAGTGAATGTCGATGCAGGTCATCTCGCAACATGGGGGATACAAAGATTTATAATTCAACACTATATGTTTTAAAGAAATAACACTTGCAAAGGTTGACAACGAATTAAGAAAAAGCCAAAAATCATGTCTTGTATGAAAATAAATAACTTTTAAGATGAATAAGACAACTTTAAAGTAAACATTGTAGTCAAAGAAGTTTGTGTTACTTTCAATAATGCACGTGGTTAAGTATTATTTAATTGTTAAGATATGACCTCCAGTAAAGTATTTGACTGAAATTTTAATAATACTTCATTACGGATTCATCAGTGTATTGTCTACGAGTATGTATTTGTATAGTGTATATATCAAACTCGTAAACTCTCTCACTTAAGTGTTATTGTTTCACTAGAGTCAATCTTTAGAAATCACAAAAAGACAGTAAGAAACTGTAAAATCGTTAGTTTTACATAAACCTTACTGAATTAAAATTTTATTCACATTTTTCTTAGAAAAGATACTACTATTTTCCAGCTTCTATTGGATTAATATAACATGGTACTGTAAAATGGTCAGTGATAAGGGACTTCAACGCCGAGTAGGTAGATGCCACACCCGCTATAAAACCAACAGCAATAATTTCATAGTTGATTACTTTTGTATGTAACGGTACTTCCGGTCTGAAATAAAAAATATTAGCTTTGTTTAGAGCGGTTCAGAAATAACATCATTTATTCTAAATGACATTAAAGATTGATAGTTTATTTTTAATTTGTTTTCTGGGTCAGTACTGTTCAACTGTCTGTTCTTACCAAAATTGTATACTAGTTGTATAATAAACAATTGTGTTCTATTTGTTTTCTTTGGAATATTTTCCTACCCTAAGTCCGCTGGCGACCCATATACATGGTAACCAGTTCATGCCAATAAAAGGCTACGGATCATGGTAAACACTGTTAGCTATTCCGTTAGTACATATTTTGAAAATGTCCCTTAAACGATGAAAGTTTATATTTCCAGACTGAATGAAGGACAAGTCCATTTAAGTTATTAAGCGGGGTAAGTGTCATCATATTGTGATAATGATAATAATATCATAACACCGTACTTAACAATACTTAAATCATCAAAAATTAACAAAAATGAAAGACATGAGGCAGTCTGTTATTGGAGATATGTTATGAGGAATGGCACGCACAGACTGATGGGGAACATATAATACTACAACACAAGTCTTACTTACAACTTGCACATAACTATACGAATAGAGTATGGATGTTATGGATGAAACGATTTGATTGTAACTATCGCCACAATCGTTTTATTTGAATTATAACAAGAGAAAGAATAGAAATGTAGTTTACTCTGGTTCCCAGTTATCAGTTGTGCTCGGTTTTTGTCTGCATAACTTCAGATAGAATAATGGAGGACATATGTATGCAAGTAATGTTGTTGTAGACCCGCCAACAAGCGACAAAATACTACCAAAATGTGGAACAGACTCGGCAACAAATAACACCACGATAACTATAGTTGTTCTTGACATGACCCTTTTTATTGAAAAATCTGAAACAAAGAAGAATTATCAGCCTTTACATGTGATTTACAAGCAATGTAAATATTTTAGTCTAGTTCTAAATAGAAAGTTAAATTTATATTTTGTTCTGTTTAGACATTATTGTATTGCTGAAAACGTCAAAAGTGTCAAACATAGAATTATGCTGAAAAAGGGTATTTATGTCTTTATGCTGCTGTGTATTTCCGTCCCAAAAACCAAAGTTTACGTAAATGTATCTTGAAATAACGAATAATAGACACTAAGGACAAGATTTTGCGAATAACATTTCGGACTTAGAATAAGAATCATCCAAATATAAAATCGCTAAAATGAATCCAGACAAACTTGAGTTTTAGTCATATTCCAATTTACAAATTGCGATTGTTTTAGCATAGAATTGAGTATACTTGCGTGTTGGAATTTTTAAAAGGTGTTCTATTTCTTGACAAAATGGATTGATTACAATAATAAAACCAAGCATAAGATGAGCTATAATTAGAATAGACACGACTGTATGTGCAGGTCCTCTAGACACGACATCTAAAATGTTGTCAGTTATTTGACCTCCATATACGAAATATCCGGCTGCTGAGACAGGAAAATACATTGCCAAAACAACTGAAATAAGAAACGGTTAAACTTGTAATGCACAAACAAGAAAACAATACGATGTACCGGTATAAATATGCGAATAATAATGGTGATCAGATCATTGACATTCAACAAAACACTTTTACAGTAGTCATGCAATTGAATGAGAAATGCATTAAGTAAAGATTATATTTTTGAAAAATGACCACAGGCTAGGCCGAAATCACTGCTCATCATCCTTTTGAGTTACAATCCCGCTAGGGACTTAATAATCTTTCATGTGAAAAATGCACACAAGGGCACGAGTGTTTAGTGTTATCGTAATACATGTACTAGCATAAAATTCATATTCACATGGACTCTTAAATGAGAACATTTAAACTAAAGCTATTGATCCCAAAAATCGAGGCAGCATATAAACCTACTCAAATATCCGACCAAAACTGCCCATCCAAAGTTTTCTTGCTTCTTCATATCTGCCTGGAAAGTTGGAAATGCCGGATGTCCACCAAAACCAAAACAAATTGTTCCAAATGCCACGGAAAAGGACGTAAAGTCTATTTCGTTATGAATTAAAGCACCAACCTTCTTTTCTCCGTCATATATGACATTACCAAGTAAAATACAGCATGCGATAGCAGTGGCACATGTTGCGCCCACAGCTACAAACCTGGAAAATGTAGTATAAAACATTTCCCTCTTCTTGTTTATAATTTTAGTAAAGCATTTAACTCATTAATTGTGACATATACAAATATATCATACAAAACACTGTTTTTTATCAGACGTTATTCATATAATTTTGTTACAGAGAGAGTTTGATAAAATCTGTTATATTTATGTTACTGACGTCATATTACATATGGCGGTATATGTAGTCAGTTGTATTTGTATCTCAAAATACTTTTTTATGTGTGAAATTATAGCATAATAGCTCTATCATTTAATAAAACTTCATGTTGATGTAGTTCTATAGTCTTTGAGTTTTTCTACGTCTAGAAATTAAATATGAAAATTTGCAACGAGGAATCTCTCAACAATTATGCAATAGAAATTAACGATTCTAGACCCCGTTATACCAACCAACCAAATACAATACTTACCAGAAATCTGCAGGTGTTCCTAACCATGATACAGGTATCAGACAACCAGCAACTATAGCTCCGATGTAACAGAAGCTAACGTCAGGCCAATATGGCTCGAGGAGATTAGCTATATTGATGGAAGCAAGGAGTAAAAATACGACTCCGACACCAAACAATGTGAAGTTAATAGATATTGACACAAGATTCCTGAAATTATCAGATACTGTTTTTAAATAATCCACTATCAAGTTTTTTATTCTTGTATTTTGGTTGGATTAATATTGATGTGTCCATGTGGAGACCCGTCATTTGCCATCTAGAAGCAAAATACCCAAACCTATTATTTGAAATCTGTCTGAATTTATTCTGTGTACTAACATGCTCGTATATTTGATAAAGAGAGCCGGTTGAACAGAATTATATTTATTCACGGATGACATTTTGGATAATTTGAACAATAAATATTTCTTGATATGTATACAAACATCGCTTTCAAAATTTGATAAATTTCATATATTCTAGAAAAATGTGGTAGTCATATTAAACAACGTGTAAATTTTATATAGGTTACCTGCCAAATCTACCAAAAGCCTCCTGGCCAATGGCAGGATATGGGTATCGAACATGCCCTATCTGGTATTCTATATTTCGTTTTCTAACTATCATCCAAGCTTTTCCCAGTATATTACCAGTATAGGCAGATATAAGGCAGCATAATACCATTATAATAAGTCCACTCCATCCTGCAGGCAAAACATTTATACATAATTATGTTAAGTTTGACTTTTTTAACATATGAATAACGAGAGGATGTTAGTAGCATTTGAAATGAAATTATTTGTGTTATAGTAGCAAAATGTAAACAAAGGACTTCCATACAAATTACTAAATCCCCATAATTGTACTTATTTCCAGAAGACAACAGAAGCAAAATATGATTCCTTTTATTGGCCAATGAGGAATTGTTTGGAAACTATAAAAACACATCAAAAATGAAAAGCTTCAGTGAAATAATAATAAAATCATTTCTGAGGAAGAATAACAATTATACCTTTTAGTAAAACAATTTGAAAAAAAATTAAAACCGCCTAAAAAGAATATAATTTAGATATATAATGTGAAAAGATCTAGATAACAGTATATGAATAGATTATATTATTTGAAAAAAGAACTTTAGGACTTTTTAATTTTAAAGAATTTGTGATAATTTGAATGGATGGTACCCGACATACATATAAAAAAATACAATCGTTTAGCACTAAACTTCTATATCATCTTATTGAAAAGAACAAAGATTTACCAGCTCCTTCTACAGCGGCTGGAAGAGCAAGAACCCCTGATCCGGCAATCTCACCGACAATAAATACTGCACATGTTATAATACCGAGTCCACCTTGTCGCTCTTCAGCCATCTGCTGCTGGTAATATAACAAAAATCTTGATAAACTTTTAAAAAAAAATATAGCTATAAATATGGTGGTCAAGTCAATTCAAATTTTAGTTCATCGGACCTGGTAGTGTGTCCTTATTTTCCAATCACCCTTGATTATAAGATAAAATCCAGGAGAGGCTTTGCTTTTCAAGCTCAATCAGTTCAATTCCATATTTTATTGAGCATATCAACGTATTTACAATGTTATTTGCCCACATTTAATTATCAACAAATAATTCGGTAGGAGTACGTAATGCATTTTGAAAAAATATGATGAAATTGTCATCTAACATTATGTATTTGTCAAAAGTTCACATGATCCAAAAAGGAAAAGTGAAATAAGCCATAAATGGAGAGTATCAGGATGCATGTTCTGGTGTATACTACCTTTCATAGATTATAATCTCATTTAATATCAGTCTCTGTCATTGAAATCATTACGGCATTTAAATAAAATGCAATTACTAACAGAAATTGACATTTCTAAAATCCCGCGCATTTATCATTTAGCAGAAGTTAACACTATACACTATATACTCATGCGTACTTGATAAGTTTAAATAAAGACTGAAAACTTATATGTCGTGATTTAGAAATAGCTTATGTCTTAAAAACTAAGGCTTATGTTTTGACCAAAAGCTATTTGAGCCAAGATGAACTGTGCATAATTACAATATATTGAAATGCTAAATGTTGAAACATGGGAAATGTTAATAAACAGTCCTGCTAGTGTAGACAACTTAAAAAACTCACCACTTTGCATGTGTAATATTTACCTGAATTATCGGCACCTGGTCGTCCATCCTTTCTTATTTTACGTTTGCCTGTCTTGTAAAAGTCTGCTTACATATTCTGGTTTTTAATTAAAAAAAATTGAAATCGTATTGCAGGTAATCCTCTAAAGATATGAGTATAATTGAATGTTACCGACTACCGAATGATGTTTCTACAATATCTGAAAAAAGAGATAGAAAACAACTAAGTAAGAAAACATGGTAAGAAGATAAAGAGCTCTTGGAGTCTTGCTTACTTGCACTAAGGTAATTAGATTGATTGTGTAAGGTGTGTAAGTAAGGAGGTAAGCAAGTAAGTAAATTAGCTTGTAGGTTAAAGAATATGCGACTTACTTAGTAAAACATGTCAATGGCAGATAAGAAAAATGTGGACACTTCTATATTACAATGCATTAATTTTCATAAAGACATATCATATGTATCCAAGCAAGTAGGCCGGTCATTCAACAAAATTGTAATACTGTATAATTGCCTGAAATAAGAATATAGGAAAATACAATGGCCATGTATATGAATAAACATAATAAAAATGTCAACATTGGACAATGAACGTACAGAAATTCAGATAGATTATCTACTAAAAGATGTGTGGGACAGACAACAGGCTGGACTAATCAGACGGTGTATCTGTATGAAATAGAAATAAACCAATATCACAGTAAATAAAATAAATCATACTAAATAATGAGAGGATACTATTTAGAAATAAGTACATTTTACGAAATAAAATAAAATAACGAGTACCGACATAATAACAGTGTAAACAAGTTTGACAGTTCGTTTCAACTTTGTACATAAAATCTGTAACATGTTTTATAAAAATTTAATCATTTTTATTTACTTTTCCCTAGAATTGAAGGGGCCCTTTTTCAGATTTTTTACTTAATTTCTTTTTTAAAAAATTTTCGATTTAAAAATCAAATGTAAGTTTTCATCAAAAAAAAAAAAAAAAAAAGTTAACTTAAAAATTAATAAACGTTTTTTTGACTTGGGTTAATTTTAAAAAAAGACCCCCATTTCAAAAAGTTTTTTAGTTTAAGTCGGTTTGTTTTGATTTTAAAAATTTTATTTAAATTTTTTTAAAAAATGGACCCTTGTAAAAAAAAAACTTTTGGGAAAAACCCGCCAAAACCCAAAGAATGTTTTGTAAAACCCTTTGCTTATACTTTGATTTTAACGATATATTTTTTAAATTAATTGCTTCCCCCGCCCCGGGCGGAAATATTTTTGTTTATATTTTTTTTTAAAGGGCCCCGGGTTTTGGGAATAAAACTTTAATTAAAGTAAAAAAATCCCAATTAAAGGAACCCTTTGATTTTTATATTGTTTTTTCCCCCTCCCATGATTCGCAAATGCATAAATTTAAAATGAAAAAACCGGAAAAACAGTGTTACAAAATTCGAAATTAAAATAGCTAAAAAATGTTAAAAAAAATTTGTTTTTTTCCTTTTTTAAATAGACATGCAAATTTTTAATTTTTTTTACATTTTGAAAAAACAAAATTTTAAAAACAAAGCATAAAACAAGTATATAAATTAAAAATTATGAATTTTCAATAAAAAAGAAGATTTAAAGGGAAAAATTTTAAAAATTTTTTTTGATAAATTAAACTTTAAAATTATTTTATGGAAAATTAAAAGTTTAAAAATAAATGTTTATTATTGGGTTTTTTTAAAAAATTAAATTTGTATAAATTTGGTTTTAAAATTTTTAATTTTTAAGAAAATACCCCTTGTGATACTGTTTTGAATGTTGAATTTGGGGGGGTAATCGGCAAAAGAAAAAAATGAAAATTTTTATTCCTTGCGAAAAAAAAATGGAATTTTTTAAAAATTTTTTTTGTCTATAGCCCAAAAATTTTTTTTACCAAATTTTCAGAGGAGAGTGGCAAAAATTTTTATCAACAAAATCACATTTTTTAAAAGATGAGCTATTTGGGAAATACACTTTCCAAAATTTTATGTTTTAAAACTATTTTAAAAAAAAATGATAAAAATAAGAATTTTAACCTTTAAAAGGGCTTTCTTTTGAAAACCCAAAAAAAAACTGTTTCAAAATTTTTTGCACATTTCGTGAATGGCAAAAAACAGTTTGTCTTTTTTTTGGGGGGGGGGCAAAAACAAATTTTGGAAATTTTTGCAGAAAATAAAAAAAAAACTTTTTAAAAAATAATTTAGGAAAAAAAGTTTATCTGACCCTTTTAAAAAAATGGCCCCCTGATGGGAAAAAAGGGAAATAACCTTTAAAAAATCTTTTCCTTTTTGTTACTGACAAAGAAACTTCCCAAAAGTTAACCCTTTTTTGGTTAGATTTTTTAAAGGGTTTATTGTGTTTTATTTTTTTGAGTTCGGCTATAAAAGTGTTGTTTTTTGCTATTTTTTACAATAAAATGGGGCCCTGTGTTAGAAAGGTGGATTGATTTTTTGGAGTTAAGGGTTTTTAAAAATTTTTTTATTTTTCCTGCAAAAAATAGTTTTTTTGGCATTTAAAAAAACTTTTAAAAAGGGTTTTTCAATACTGAAAAAGTTTCATAAAACCCTTTAACCAAAAGAGTTTTTGGTCTTCAGAAAAGTAGCACATTAAAAGGGAATGTTCTTATTTTATATTTTTATTTTTGTTCAAATTTTTCCCTTTAAAATTTTAAAACCCGGAACTTTATTTTCCCAAAAGGTTTATCATTTTTTCAAAAAGAGGGTTTGTTTTATTGGAAATTTGGGCCCCACTTTTCTTTGGACAGCTTTTGTTAAAAAAAATGACTGACCCCCAAAACGGAATACTTAAACATGGGTTGATGTATCCCCAAAACAGAAAATTTTATTTGCCCGTTTGAAAATGAGTGTAATGTTTTTTTTGAATTTGGGTTTTTAAAACAATTAAACATAAAAATATTTTTGACCCCCTAAAAATTAATTTAAAAAGTTTTTTTTTTTTTTACCCAAAGTCAAATTTGCTTTTTTTTTCTTTGTCTCGCACGAATATGGTATAATGAAATTTTCCCCATATACCTTAAATTTAAGGGCGTCTTCCTATTTAAATTTTATGTAAAAACTTATCCCCTTAAAGCGTGTATATAAATTTGGTTTTATTGAACCCGTCAATTTTAAAGAAAACCATATGGATCATTTAAAAATTCGGCCCCCCTTCCCGGGTTTTGGGCCGTGTATTTACGAGAATTAATGTAAGTTTTGTATGGTTTTAAAAATCCCCCAATTAAAGTAAGGGTTTTTTTTTTTCCCTAGCAAGGGCGGTTAAAAGGAAAAGCCTGATAGGTCTGAAGAAGGGTCTGTGGTTCGATTCCTTTCTTTGCCATTTTTTAAATCTCTTCTTTTTTTTTCAGTTTACCCTTTTTGAAAAAATTTGAAAGGGGTTTTAGGGATTTAAAAAAACCAAATTTTTTGATTTTAAAACCGTTTTTAAATTTTAAAAAAATGTTTTTTTAAAAAAGTTAGAAAAAAAATTAAAAAAACATAAAAAACAAAAAGAACAAAATAAAATCTAATATAGTTTTTAAAAATGTTTTTAAAATATTAATAAGAAAAAAAAAAAAATGGACCAACGGGTCCCCCGAAATTAAAAAGTGTGAAAACTTTGATTTGTCCCTGGGTTTACCCCCTTCCCCCTATAAAAGTGATTCTATTATTTTAGAGTACCCAAATTAAAAAAAATTCCCTTTGTAAGGGGTTTAAACCCGGAACTTACCCAAAACTACCGAAAAAATTACCCGGGGTGCATCGCCCTTAATCCGTAAAGTAAATTGGGTTAAAAAAACCCAAAAAATAAAAAAAAAAATCCCAATTTGGTTTTTGGAAAATTTTATCCCATTTTTTTATTCCGAGTGTGTTCACTTTTTAGTATTGAAAAAAAAACCCTTTTAAATTTTACATGAAAACATATATTTTAATATTATATATTATTTTAAATTTGTTTCCTTTTTTAAAACTATTTTATATTTGGGTTTCAAATTAAAAAGATTTGATATTTTTCATTTTTTGTTATGGGAAAAAAAACCCGTACCGTATGTACATAATTTAAAAATTTGTAATTTTGTTTGTATTAATGGAATTTCTTTCCCTTCCCGTAGGGAAACAGCCAAAGATTTTTTTTATTAAATTTTCCCCCCTTTTTTAAAGATGGAGTTATTTTACAAATTGGGATAAATAATTTTTAAATTTCCCCAAAAAAAGGGGAAAAAAACATTCCGGGAAAAAAAATTTTAATTCCTTAACTGAATTTTAAAAATGATGGGGGAAAAATTTGGGAAGGTTTTTGTAATGAGCGCATTTTTTGCGCGGAGCTTCTCAATTGCTGCATTGCAGCAACATTTGTACTTGTTGTTTAATGTATTTCAGTTATTTCAACTCGTCTTCCGTTAAAATCATTGTATACAGCCATAAACAGGACTCGAAACGATAATAAAAAATAGATAAATTTTGTCTCATAATATGAACATGTATTTACAATAATTGTTGATACATTGGTCGAATATTCTTAAATCATTTTACATAATAACAACATATATCGGAAGTTTGTAAAGATTGAGTATAATGTTTATTTGTGATTATATTGTGAGCTGTCATCAAATGTACATGTTATGTCGGGCTTTGTTATAAATTACAGGTTTTGTTGGACTTATGATATAAATATATATTGGATATAGACAGTTTACATTTGCCTTCTCCTCTTGCAGTTATTGTGGAGTGTATCCGGTCCATGTCTTGCTCTTTTGACAGCAACTTAGGATTTATTAAACTGTGTCTTTGTAAGGAAGATTATTATCTTAAATATTTATTTACTATTTTCTTCTTTTTCCACAAAAATGTTTATGTTCATTCATAAAAAATGCACCTTTTCATCTATTTCTCAAGTAACACATTCAGAATAAATTTGATTCAGTCCACAAATTCGGTACAGATGCCTATAATTTTTGTGCACCGTACCTAAATTTTGATAATAATTGATTTTATTTTGCATTTTTTAGTGTATCAAACTTGCATATGAAATCACTTAAAAATAAATCCATCTGTTCAAGCACTTATATCATTTTATATCAAAAGATTAACATAGAAAGGGGAATAACCGTGACGAGCTTAAATACTGGACACATATTATCTGAATGGTCGTCTTTCTTGTTGTTTATCGGGTGTAGTTAAATTTAGAGATCTACATTAAAGATCTGTGTTTAGTTAATTTTGAAGTTTAAGTTATTTTACACCCCCACTTTACATACACATTTTCTTAATAGCAATAATTTTAAAACTCTGTACACTGAAGTATAAATTTTTTTTAAGACAATGAATTTCATAAGAATGGATCAGACCATTTACGCCTTTTTATCAAAAGTTTTATTTTAATTACATGTTGTAGATCTTATTGTATTCTAATTATTGCAACAATCAAACCATTGTAACAGTCTTTACTGACAAGAAAAATGTGAAGAATTTGTGTATCATGAAGAATTTGTGTATCGTAATGACATATTCGATCAATTTTTTCCTCAATGTTAATATGGTATATTCAATTGAAAAATAGCGTATCATAGATATTTAATTATGTCCCCTAAAAATGTTACTTGTTTTCCATTCTCACAAGGGACATGACAATTTTTCAATTAAGTTTTTTTTCTTCTCAGACGTCTTCATGTGCAGCTGGGAATTACCAAATTACATTCACGGTGACCCGACGCAAGTATAAGATTGATTAACTGTTGCAGTTAGCAGTATGGAATCCCTTATTTTCTCTTAAATGTTATATCATGTAGTTAGAAATAGCTTTATTATTAGAACCACATTTTTCCGAAATATAAACTATAATATGATATCTTTTGCGACAACGTAATTTCATGCTCTATATATAGTAAATATACCTATAAATGTATCATTTCAATGTTACGGATAGGGTAACTTTACAAAATAAAGAAGGTAATAGTTATACGAACTTATACTTAAACGATAAATATCTCAATAGTAAATATCTCAATAGTAAATATCTCAAAAATATATTATGATCATTATCAATTTTCAAACAAAGCATAATTGGTTTAATATGACAAGTATACCTACCTTGTAATAGTAATTCCAGTTTTAACCAGTTCTTTTAGAGGTATGGTATTCGTCCCTCAATTTAGACGTTCAGGTTCAATTAACACACATTCATGTGATCATATATTAACGAAATAGAACATATACAACTTCACCACTGTATCACCGTTAAATTATCCTCACTTTTGTTATCTGATAATTTAAAGGGTAGATTCGTTTATTACGAATTAATATCTGTGTTAAACTTTAACCAGTGATAAATACGCAAATTTGACTAATCTATTCAAGTGGTTACTCATAACGTACTTAAATATTTAAATGCTGTAGTAGTATTGTTTTTCAAAGAGATGACAAAAAGTGTTGAATTATAGATTCTGTTTTTGTAGAAGGGATCTATCACCACTTTATACAGTCGAACAATTCTGTATACACGGGTTGTTTGACAAGCCAACATATACACAACATAAACTATAAACTGACAAGAAAATAAATGATAAAAATGTATTCGACTCGGTACGTGTATGTCGTAGAAAAGACACAGGACATCAGCAGTAGATTGGACGAACTCGGGACGGCAAAGAATTAGCAAAGACCAGAACTTGTACTTGCGGACCACCAGCCGATATCATAACTAAAGTCGAGGGGGGTGGCAGGACGAGAGCAAAGTGTGCAGGTGTTTTTAGCCTAGCATAGAGAAAACGGTTTGAAAAAACAGGCCCTTTTCATGAACAAAAATTTCGGGCATTCCATTTCTATTTTTCTTAATTACTGACATTTTTTGGTTGCATTGACCGCCGTAAGTCATTTGCCCTTTGCTTCTCCTAGAAAGCCCCAGAAAAAAAACATCTATCGGGGTTTTTTACAATGTCCGGAAAAGTGCGAAACTTTAAATTTCCTCAATAATAAGCATAAATTAAATTTGTAATTTTATTTTCTTTTTTTTTTTTAAAGTCATTCTAAACAAACATAAATTTAGAACATTTTGATCGGTGTTCTTTTATTTCGTAAAGAACATGTTCATGGAAATGCTGACAATTTGTACTTTTGTAAGTATTAGGGAGTGTCTTGCAATCTGAGATTTGTTTTGTTATTTTTGTATGTATGGGGGAAGTGACATCTCGGTTTTAATGACTGAAGTATATCCCCAAGATGTCATTAAACTTGAAATAAATAGGTAGTGGGATGTCTATACAAACAGACAAAACTATTATAATAATTCAAATAAATAGTATTCCTAATACCGCTCCCAGAATTTCCTTCTCGACTAAAGTCTAAATTTAATCTCGATACATTTGATATGTTTGACATGATGAAATTCTATACAACCTCCAACTGTGAATGAACAACGCAAGGACGTTATATAGTATAGTGATCTTTTAGCAAACCAAATTAGCGACATTATTGATATCATCATATTTTTTATCAATTTCATAATTTTCACAATCAAATCCCAATTAAGGCAAGGAATGATAATACAGTTTAGTTCAGAATTAATGCCATTTCACTTAAATTTAAAAAGCATGATTTCAGACGAACGCTGAGCGAAAGTGAACTATCTGGATAGCTTCCTCACAAAGTCTTTGGCGGGAAGAGAACCCACTACCCACTGGAGTTCAAATTATCTTTCAAGATTAATACACCACTCAATGACTATCTGGACCAATAACGTGTGCGCAAAATTTTATATCATTCGCTCACACCTGTTTTCCAGAATAATCATTTGCATGACCCAACAAAATGAAACTATGTAAACGTTTTAAACTCAAATCGGACTAAGAATCGCACAAACCATTCATTTTTAATTTAATTTGGAGTATATTTCTTTACTATCTCTATTCTCTAGCAATTTTTCAGTTTTCAGTGCTCAAGTTGTTGTATGTAAGAATTTCAATTATATATTTGAACCTCAATCGAATGCCTTTAATTATGGTGGCTGATTTGGTACACTGCGCGTTGCGTTGTCGACAGGACGACAAGACGAATATCATCCGACAACGCGCCGTTTTAGCCCTTTGTTGTGTTATCACTAGCAACAACAAGACGCAAAAATCGTGTCCGAAATCAGCCACCATATTTAATACTAAGTCACGGAAATAAAAAATTCGACTATTTTGGACATCAGTAATTACAAAATGTACCTGAGATTTTACAAGAGTGTAAAGGCTTTGTACTGAACATTGTACTCTGCACATGGTCCTGTTTTCAAATTTATTGCTTCCCATCGTTATGTAAGAATGTGTAATATTCAGGACTGATTTTGAGAATTTGGCTCCCTATAAGATGCTAGAGGCATTTTGTAGTACAAGTGTTTTTTTTTTTTTTTTATCTATTTCAGGTATGCTGAATCCGATAAAGGTGGATACCAAATTGAAAAACTTGATCTTGACCATTGAAATGGCCATTTAAAATGACCACTAAAATGGCCGCCAAATTTCTTTATCATAAATGGATGATAGATCAAATAAAACTTTTAAGGAAAGGAAAAGCCTGAAATTTGTCACAAAGCATGTTTAGGTTAAAACAAATAAGACACCAAAACAGAATTAAAAAACCCCCAAACAATCCAATATGGCCGAAAAATCCAAGATGGCAGACATTTTTCTATAGGCCAATATAATAGTAATATAGCAGTAATAATATAAAAGTGAAAACTTTAAGGCATTTACGCAGCGAACACTACACTCTTTCCTGCCCTATCTGCTAGATAAAGAGCTTTCATGTATTTTATCTGGCACTCTATGCAAGCATATAGAGTGGCAACTTATATTTACCCAGCGTGCGTATGTGTGAGGGGGTTAAAACGTGTGCATGCAAAATATTAATTAAAGGCACCTTTCTATGAGTACTGTTGGGTTTTGGTTTTCGTTTTTCTGTTATCGGTTCGCGTTGCATTTCTCTGCTGTCAGTTCTTCTGTTATTGGTCGTGACTTTCGTTCTTCTATTATTGGTCCTCATCGCAGTTGACTTGTTGTCAGTTCTTCTGTTATTGGTCCTCGTCGCAGTTCTCTTGTTGTCGGTTCTTCTGATATTGGTCGTGATCTTCGTTCTTCTGTAATCGGTCCTGGTCTCAGTTCTTTTGTTGTTAGATGTTCGGTTCTCGTCTCTGTTCTTCTGTTATAGGTTCTCGTCTTCGTTCTTCTCCGTTCTTCTGTCATCCGTTCTCGTCTCTATTCTTCTGTAATAAGTCCTGGTCTCCGTTTTCTTGTTGTCAATTCTTCTGTCATCGGTTCCCGTCTCTGTTATCGATCCGCGTCTTCATTCTTCTGTCATCAGTCCTCGTCTATCTTATTCTGTTATCAATCCTCGTCTCAGTTGTCTTGTTGTCAGTTTTTCTGTTATCAGTCCCTGTCCTGTTATCGGTTCTTGTCTTCGTTCTTTTGTCTTCGGTTCTCGTCTATTTTCTTCTGTAATCAGTCTTGGTCTCCGTTTTCGTGTTGTCAATTCTTTTGTCATCGTTTCCCGTCACTGTTATCGAACCCCGTCTACATTCTTTTGTCATCAGTTCTCGTCTATGTTATTCTGTTATCGGTGCTCGTTTATGTTCTTCTGTTATCGGTCCTCGTCTCTATTTTTCTGTTAACAATCCTCGTCTCCGTTGTCCTGTTGTCAGTTCTTCTGTTATCGGTCCCTGTCTCTGTTTTTCTGTTATCGGTCGACTTCTCTGCTCGCTTGTTGTCAGTTCTTCTGTTATCGGTCCCTGTCCTGTTATTCTGCTATCGGACCTCGTTACTGTTCGCTTGTTGGCAGTTCTTCTGTTATCGGCCCCTGTCTCCAATCGCTTGTTGTCAGTTCTTTTGTTATCGTTCGACGTCTATGTTCGCTTGTTGTTAGTTCTTCTGTTATCGGTCTAGTCTTTGTTCTTCTGTTAGCAGTCCTCGTCTCTGTTCGCTTGTTGTCAGTTCTTGTCTCCGTTCTTCCTTCTGTTATCGGTCGTCGTCTTCGGTCTTGTACTTTCGGTACTTGTTTCCTGTTCCGTTAAGGTCTTCTCTTGTTTCTATCGTTGCCGTCATTCTGTGTCTATGTCCTGGTTTTGTCAGTCTTGTAGTCATTTATTCGTTCAGTGGAGTAGCGGGGGATCGAACTCACGACCCCTTGATTTGTAGGCAGACAGTGTTACCACTGCACCATAGCGCCCGCTCTGAATAATAACCATTTTTGAAAATCCTTTATACATAAAATACTATTTCAATGGCTAACAAAAGGTGTATTACAATTATATTTTAACACCTCTACTATGTAGCCAACCCACGTGACTTTTATATATGGTCAAAGAAAATATTACTCCATTTTTTACAAGTAATATTTGTATAGATAACTTTGCTGTTACTTTAAGATATCCTGGAAATTTATTGGAGGGTACCTGGAATGATGTGATAATCTTCTTGTAGAATTTTCTCAAAACCGTGACTGAATTCCAAAATTTTCGAGAGCTGCCATGGTATAGCAAACACACGTAGCAATCTCCCGGTTTCAGACATTTTCTGACTCGATGAAAATATGGTGCTGTTATTGTTTTTTTTAACTTTAGCTTTAAATTTCAATAGTCAATTATTTTTAAACAAGATGGTAAACTTAAATATGCCCAAATGTCATCAAGAGCAGTTTTGCATGTGGAACGAATGTATTTTTCAGACTGTAAAAATGAAACAAACAAAAATTAAGAGACGATATTACCTGATGAATAGAAGTAAGTTTTCTTCTTTTTATTACTTTTGACATTTAAGTTATTTATCAATTTCAGCTTTGCTTTTCTCTAAACAGCCTGACATTGTCAGAATTGTCAGCAAAAATAAAAGTGAGGTACCACAAGGGGAAAATCTTAAGAAAGTAGTTTTGTCATTGAAAAGTGTGAAATTATATTTTTATAATTTTCGCTGTGAAATTATCAAATATAATTTTCACGGATAAATCAGTAATCCACTGAAAAGCATAAAATAAAAAAACTATAAAACTTATATTAGTGAAAGTCATATCTGCTAAAAATGTAAACGTCATCGTTACTTCGTAGTAGCACAGCCGGTTAAGTGATTGACTGATGTATGAGAGTTCTATGGTTCGCTCCCTACTGTTGTCTTTTTTAAGATCTGTTTTTTTTTTGTTTTTTTTTTGGGGGGGGGGGGGGGGGGAAACGCAGAATATTTTTAAAACATTTTTTGTCTCGGTTTGTGTTGTGTTTATGGCATTGG